AAACAATGATCTACTCCAACCCCCTCCTTCCTGGCTCAAAGCAGGACTAGCCCCAACTCAATCATCCCAGCCAGGGCTTTCCCAAGACAGCCCTTAAAAACCTCTAGGGATGACGATTCCACCACTTCCCTAGGGAACCCATTCCAGGGCTTCCCCACCCACCTAGGGAAATAGTTTTTCCTAATATCCAACCTAGACCTCCCCCACTGCAACTAGAGACCATTGGTCCTCGTTCTGCCACCTGTCTACTGAGAACAGCCTCTATCCATCCTCTTTAGAACCTTCCTTCAGGAAGTTGAAGGCTGCTACCAAATCCCCCCTCACTCTTCTCTTCTGCAGACTATATAAGCCCAGTTCTCTCAGCCTCATCTCATAAGTCATGTGCTCCAGCCCTCTAATCATTTTTGTTGACCCTACACTGGACTCTTTCCAATCTGTACACATCCCTTCTGTAGTTGGGTGCCCAAAACTAGACAGTGCTCCATATGTAGCTTCACCAGTGCCAAATAAAGGGGAATAATTGCAGCGCTCCTACTAACGCAGCCCAAGAAGCCATTAGCCTTCTTGACAACAAGTGCACCCTGCTGACTCATATCCAGCTTCTCATACACTGTAATCCCCGAGGCCTTTTCTGCGGAACTGCTGCTTAGCCAGTCGGTCCCCAGCCTATAACAATGCTTGGGATTTTTTCCATCGTAGGCACAGGACTCAGTATTTGTCCTCGTTGAACCTCATCAGATTTCTTTTGGGCCAATCTTACAATCTCTCTAGGTCACTCTGCACCCAATCCCCACCCTCCAGCTCATCTCCCTCTCAGCTCAGTGTCACCTGCGAACTTGCTGAGGGTGCAATCCATCCAATCATCCAGATCATTAGTGAAGATGCTGCACAAAACCAGCCCCAGGACTGACCCCCTAAGGCATTCCGTTTGATACTTTCATCAACACTACTTTAATGTGCTGACAAGAATACGTTGGGAGACCATATCAGGAGCTTTGCTCAAGTCACAGCCAGTTATTTGACCACAAAAGGCAATTACATTGGTCACGCATGACTTGCCCTTGGTGAATCTATGTTGGTTGTCCCCAATTCCCTTCCTCTCCTCCAAATATTTCAAAATGGGTTCAAAGCTGATAAAGTGGCAGTGCTGTGGTACTTGCTGGCTGCAAAGAGGTTCTGAGGGTTGGGGTGGGTGTGCCCCACCTGCAGAAAAGGTAATGGACAAGGGTGATGCGCTGTTCCCAGAAAGACTTTCTGACACATCTCCCATGAGTTTGGGGTGCCTGGGAAGTGCATCAGCATCAGACCTTTTCAATTACCTTTTGTCCTTTCAGTGGCCAGACAACTGGAGAACTAAGTATGCAATGCCAATCCACCTTCAGAGGAGTAGCTGGATTAGTCTGTATCTGCAAAAAAGAGAAGTCCTGGGGCACCTTAAAGACTAATGGAGTCCGATAGTTATGTTTAATAACAAGGAGTCCTTGTTATTAAATCTTAACTTTGATTCCTTTGCATTCTTTAGTTTGTGTCACAGCTCGGATTTTATTCCCATTTCTACATAAAACAACTTGAGGCCCTTGATGATTTTGTAAAATACACAATCGGCTTAACCATCTTAACACACAACACATGCAGGGTATCACACAATTCCACCTTTCATAGCTATGTATCAACCTACACAGAAATGCACAGGAAAGAGGCACACCAATCTCCCCAAATTTATTCTCCCCACCCTCGTGCCAAGGCCAATAGATGGTATTTCAGTACACCCTGACGGTCAACCGATTCTTGTTATTTTGAAGCAAAGTGGAAGAAATTCCAAAGTGGAGAAACCCTCAAAGTACAACTTCTCAGCACACCCTTTCCTTTCGAACAAAGGAAGCTCCAGCTGAAGTGCCTCTAGTGATAACTACCTTAACATCACGAGGAGCCTCTCGGACAGGAAGTTTCCAGACCAGTTAGAACTTCACAGGTCAATACCAGTATCTTTTATTCCACCTAGAAACTAACAAGCAATTAGAGCAATTTGAGCAGTAGGGATTTGCTCCCAGTAGAATACTTCCTCCAAGTAGTAAGCAGAAAAATTCTGCACCTTAATACACAGTACCATAAAGAATATCTCTGGTAATTTAATCTTCGGGTAGGCAATTTCCTTTATTAACATTAAAATTACAAGGGGAAATAGACCATATGAAATCTGATATTCTGTAACCTAACATTTCAGAACAAATTATGTAAATTTTGGGAGGAGGCTTTTAACCCATATTTTAGAATTTAATATTCTAGAGGTAGCCTTGAACAGCGACTTTCTGAACCATTTAAAAATGTATCAGCTTGCCTGGTTGCGTTTTTTGTTGTATTTTAAAATTACCTATATGTACTCAATAGTTAAAAATAGACCACCACCCAATGGGCAATTTTCCCATCTGTTCACTTTCCTTCTCCAGAGCATCTGTGCCAGGACAATACACGTGAGTATAGTTCCACCCGGCCAGCACATGGAAACAGCATGCAAAGATGTGTTGGTATTAGACTCTAGGGCTTCCGTTGAGAGTCCTAAAGCTTCCTAACAACCATAGATAAATATGCTTTGGATCCTGAACAAGATTTTAACTCCCACAAATACATGATTGCACCAATCTGAAAGAGAGAGAGAATCTGAACCAGTATAGAAGGTTGGAAGTAGTCTGGAAGGTGCCGCTCCATGGACAACTATCATCAATTCGGCTGGCAAGACACTGCACATGAATGATAATATCAAACTGTGTGTCTGTACAGTCTCCATCCTCTGGCAAGGAAGTGCAAGCACAGGCTACAGGTGTAAAGGAGGGCAGCTTGTTTCATCCAGAATGGCTTTTTCCCTAGGAGATTGTCTAAATGACCACACTTGATGAGCAGATTTCCACAAAGCTGAAGAGGAGGTCTGTGGAGCTAGAAAGCTCCGTGCTTTCACCAACAGAAGTTGGTCCACTAAAAGGTTGGCTCTCCCCCACCCTGCCACTTTATGAAACTTGAAGACAGTTGAATGATGATACATTTTGAGGGGCACTTCTCTCATAGAAAGTTGTACTTTTTACTCAGGACAGCCTAAAGTAGTAAACTGAATTGGTGTACTTGTTTTGTGTGTAGGCATATTCAGTTTCAGCTTCAGTATTTAAGAACATAAGAAGGACCATACTGGGTCAGACCAAAGGTCCATCTAGCCCCATGTGCTGTCTTCTGACAATGGCCAATGCCATGTACTCCAGAGGGAGTGAACAGAAACAGGTAATCCTCACGTGAACCTTCCCCTATCATCCATTTCCAGCCCGACAGAGGTCAGGGACACCATTCCTACCCATTCTCTCCTAGACAATTTATAGCATGTGTGTGTCTATCGCCAGTCTTCATTATGTCAGCTCTAATGAATGAGATAAAAAATCTTAGCACCTGCAAACAGCAAAATGAATTGAACAGGTATTAATTTCCGAAAGGGAAAAAGTTATTAGCCCAGATTCCAAGTATGCAGAATTAGCTCTTAATTTTTGTAAGGTGGAACACTGTCCCAGAGTCACTTCTCTTTATTAGGACAAACTAATACAAAGGTAACTCCATTAGAGACAAATTTTTTCTATAGAAAAGAATTGGCCCCTAAAACAAGACAGTTTTCCATTTATTATGAAACACAAAAATTACAAATTTATTATAAGATAGAATTAGCCAATCAGAACATAATGAAACAATGAAATACAATCGCTGCACAACACTGTTGTGTTTGTTTATTATAAAAGCAGCCGGCACTACTATGCAACCCACTATAATCAAATCAGCCATGCTCTAGGAGAAGATGCAGATAACAATGCACCAGTCAGGCATTTAGGGGTATTTCTGTTTCTTGCAGTGCAACAAAGTTCCAGTTAAAAATTCATACCTGAGAATCCCTGCTGGGACATGGCAAGGATTAAGAGGTCAAACATTTCACCTACCTTTCTGTGCTCTTCAGAGAACCTAACATATTTGCATAATTCTTAAACATCATTGAAAGTGTCTTTAAATTACGATTATACAGTAATCAGAGTTAACTCATATGATTATCTGAAAAATCATCATGATTAATTGCAGTTTTAATTGCACTGTTAAACAACAGAATACCAATTGAAATGTATTAAATATTTTGGATGTTTTTCTACATTTTCAAATATACTGAATTCAATTACAAGACAGAATACAAAATGTATGCTGCTCACTATTATTATTTTTGGTTACAAATATTTTCACTCGAACAATGATTAACAAAAGAAATAGTATTTTGAATTCACCTCATACAAGTACTGCCATGCAATCTCAATGGAGGAGCTTTGTCACAAGTGGTATTCTATTATTGTTTAACAATGCGGTTAATCACGATTAATTTTTTAATTGCTTGATACTTCTATTTTAAAGATGTGTCTCAATGTCGTTTCCATTAAAAATAGAATTCAAGAGACACCTTATACATAAATGGTGTGCACACTAAAAAAGACGAAATTAGGATTTCCATTTTATATTTTTACAATGGGTTACTCTATGGAGAGTAACATCTTCAAGGATTATGACAAATACTTGTGACTGTGCCCTTTTCAGGTAAGACCAACAAGTAATTACAGAGGTAGGTCAACTTTCAGTCCTAAAAACCTACCAACTATCCCCTTAATGAAAGTTTAGGGTGCCAAACATTTAATATGGTTGTAATCTGATATGCGCATCTGCCTTCAATGTGGTTAATGCATAAATGTAAAAAATGGTATATTTCATTGGCGTGTTTATGAGATCATGAATACAAAGAGTTAAAACCATTCTGAGTATAATCATGTGACATTTATAGGAAACCAACTGAGATTGCTGATTGGCAGTGTTTTATAAAAAGCACACATCTGAATGCCTTTTGAAGAAAAGTAATGAAATGAACATGCAAGAACAAACCGTTGAATATATTCACATACATGGAGACTGGGGCTCTCAAAAGTAAACACTCTACATACCTTGAACTGTAAGATCTGCTTGAGCTTCAATTGTTTCGTTCCCATTATCCACAATGCAGGCATATGTCCCAGCATCATCTTCTGTGATATCACTGATCTGTAGGCTCCCTCCAGCCAGCAACAGAAATCTTTCAGAGCTGTGCAAGACAGGACATATAGGAAATGTAGCAAACTCATTGGTGTGGAGTGTGGATAAAAGGAAACATGGAAGCTCTCCAAATGAAACTCCCAAATACACTGAAAATCTGCTGATTTCTGAGGTTTGATTCTTTAATGGAATATAAAGCCAGAGGAATGGTTTGTTTTTAACTAGACTGGTTATTTGCAGGATTTTACTTTCAATGTCAGATTAAGTTCAACAATACACACACAATGACCTCTTACACACTATGAATGCATTTTTTGCACTTTCTAGTTTCAAATACTCAGAAAGCAATGCAATTCAAGTTATTTTAAAATACGATAATTAAACTTCATGAAAGATGTAAGTATTCAATCACTGCCTTCAAAGGATTGTTTCCGCAGCACTAAAACCACTCCAGACATAGCTGGAAAGTGGTTAAGTCAAGAGTACCAAAAGCCAAGCTTAGCGTCTATGCAACCCATGAAATAAATTATTGTAATTATGATTCTGTAAAGAAATCAGCCATTTCTGTTGGATATAAGAGCTCCAAAATAAAATCTGCACTACCAAGCTTGCTACACTAAAGAAGGGGGAGACTAAGTTTAGACAAATCTGTTATCCCCACATGAACATTCAGGGCTGATGTTATACAAGCCATCTTAGTATTTTTTCATTAACAAAACTGACAAAGGACAACGCTTCTAGCCTCTCTCCTGTGTTCCTCTCCCGTTGTCATGTTGCTTTCTTGTGTGCTGTTCCTTATATTTAAAAGAATCTTTCAACACTCCCTAGTTCTTGCAAAATTTAATTTTAAACAACTATATGGAATACAAGAACACAAATCGCTAACAAAAAGCAAAACCGAGAAAACCACCACAAGTCTGGTTGACAGGACAAATCCCAAATCATCCCAATACTCCAGTGAAAGTGAGAAATAAAGTATACTGGCTGCCTCTTCCGGAATGGCTGAGTCAGATTTTTCTGAGTAGATAGCCTTTGACATTGAAGAATATAGCAAAATCTAGTGTTCCTTCACCCTTAACCCAGGAGCTGCAACCTGGTACATGAAGTCACAGCGGTGCTAAAGTTTGGCACAGCCACCCCTTCATTGTGATAGCAGGGGGCTTAGTGGGCCAAATCCAAGAAAGTATCCCTGTGACCCCATGCACCAGGTTGCAATGCCACTCAAAAACAATGTCAATGGAAATGAAAAAGCTCAAAAGCAGGAAGTTGGGCCCAATGAGCCCCTCCAAGACAGACGCCAAGAGGGAGTGGGCTGTGCTATGTCTCCAGTAAGTACCACCTCCTCTGATGTTCTCTCCATTTCACAGCTGTGCACCACCACATCTTCCACATCCCATCTTGCTTTCCAGCCTAGGTCCCGCAATATACCCCTTCCCCAACAGCCAAGTGACTCCCATTCGGTTATACCACTCATCCAGGCCCCGATTCTCACCAAGCTTCCGCCGCAACAATCCAGACCCTTCTATTGATCAGCTTCTTTCCCCAGCCCTCCAACTCTACCCCCACAACTGCAGATCCCCTTCACTCCTTGTATGTTCTCCCCCGATGGGCTGGGGGAGAGGAGCAGTGTGGAACGTTCTTGCAGACAGTGTTTGGTATCTTATGGTAATGTCACTCCATGCTGGGTTAACAGATGTGCTTAGACTCTTACCTTCTTACGAGTTAGATGGGATTTTTAAAATGATGTTTCAGTGGAGGTATTGACAGGAATGTGCTTGGCAAATATTTTATCATGGGGAGCTAATTTAACAATTTACTATGTGCATCACATAGCTTTGCTTCAAATAGGTCCATGAAATTGTTTAAACCTGCAAAGACTAACACCATTAAAATTTACTCATACTGG